GTGGCAGTTTGTTAAAATAAAATCCGAAATGATTATGATTTGTGCATAGCGTACACTTTTGGACATTTATAACTTTATTAAGTATTTCATAAATTGTCGGAAACAGCTTATTGTTTGCGACTGACTATTTTTTGTCTTTTTTTTGTTATTTTATGTGTGTGTTTTTTATGGTGCCTGCGTTTGGACGGCACAGCCATTGTCTGCTATTAATTTTCAAGGCAAACTGTCGTCTGCCACTTCAACAAACAAATGGGGCTATATTTTTTGTGTGTTAGTTAAATGAAATATGTTTTATTACCATCGAGGCGTATGATTAACATTTAATAAAAATGATATTAAATGAAATATCTGTGTGGTTGTACATAACATAAAGAAGTGCAATAAAGCAGCGTACGGTACAAGTAATTTAGGCTCTAAAGAAGAAATATATGTAAGAAGATAGAAACGCATGTTTGAGATATATTCTGATTTTTATGCTACTTAAGCGATTTTGTTTGAGAAAAAGGAAACAATTTTATTACAGAAAATTTCAGTAGACATCTGCTTGGGCAAACAAGCGGTAGAGAAGTTAAAATAATTACATAATTTGATACATTCAAGTTTTTATGGAGCTTATGAACACGTGTTGAATAAAAGTGAAATCAGGCTTGCCATCACAAAAGTGTGCTGCTATTCGGGTGCAATGATAGTAAATTTTTTATTTATTTGATCTCTCTTTATTTCTTATATTTGATGTTTTCCCATTTTTTTTTGAAGCTCTTCGGGCTTTTTTCGAAAATTTTCCAATGTTTTGAAAAGATTTTGGCTTTTAACGGAACCTCAGAATTTTTTCTACACTTTTCAGAGCTCGCTGGAGATTTGTAAGGCATTTCGGGGTTTTTTAAAAACTGGTAGAAATAACTTTTGTTTAATAGTGACATTATTGTGGTATAAACTTGCGGGGTTCAGGCAAATATCTGAAAGCTGCGCAGTCAACGAACAAGTATAAAAACTAGCCGACGCTCTGTAAATTTTGAAAGACCCTGACACAGGTCAGCATTTATTGACTTGGAAAATGAAAGGCTTGAAGAATAATCAATATTGGGTCACTAAGCAGACCAACTAGTACGGAGAAAAGATCTAAGATCCTTAATTTTATTTGATCGTGCGCTTTCACTGTACGGACTTTTCAGTTTCTTTCTCTGGGGAATCGATGAAACCAAGTTTTTTGAAAGCCTGGATAGTATATAGAAAAGTAATTTCTCAGTTTCTAATTGTTTTGAAAGCTGATCAGCCGATCACTAACTTCAACTAAAAGCGCTTAAAATTGCCAATCTGGGAAAACTGAAAAATTACTTGTCTTTGTAGACGGCTGTGTGGAAGACCGACTAATTTCGGCAGCCGGTTGAAAAACGCCCTATTTAAGAACTATTTTCAAGAATGCACTATTTCAGAATTCGGTTTAAAAATGTTCTAAATCAACATCGCTTCAATATATTTTCAGTTAAGGGAATTTTAGGGCATTTTTGAACCAAATTCTGAGATGAGGCGTTTTTCAATCAAATTCTCAGATAGAGCGTCCTTAAACCAAATTCTGGAGTAGAGAGTTCTTGAGTCAATTTGTTGATGTTATTATTTGGGTGGCAATACATGGTAAATAAGCTAGTCAAACCTACCTTCACCAGAGACCGGATCTGACTTAGAGAATTTATATAAGGACAACTCATTTGTACACGTCATCCATGAAAATTTTTTGTCACCTGGGCCGGTATTAAGTTGAGACAAGGATAAATATGCATTTTTAATATGCGCTTCTTTAGAACAAAACGAAATTCGGTGTAGCAATTTTTTGAAAAGGCTAAAATTTAAAAGTCTCGCTATATACAAAAAATCTCTCCTACATTTCCATTGTATGCGCTTACCCACTAAATATACATACATCCGCACACTTAACATACTTCAGCGGCGACAATATGCTGCATTAAATTCGCAAAAAAGGAAACAACTAATACATATATTTATGTATATAAAAAAAAAACAAAATACAAAACAAGCTATAAAAAGGGAAAAAGTAAAAGCAAAAAAAAAAATCATGGCAGCAAGTCAAGTGCGTTGGAAAAATGGCACAACACACCAGTGCACCGCGTGACTATCGATATTTGCATAAAAATTCCATGTTTATTATTTATCTGCAAGTAAGCGTACATATATGCGGCTCTGCGTGTGTGCGTGCGATTTTATGTGAAAGTGTTGAAAAAGTTAGAAGTTACGCTCACTGCTGTCACACTTTTTGCCATCTCACATTCTTCGTTCTTTTGCATACATATATGTATGTATGTGTGTTGCTGTGTTGGTTTGTATGTGTGCGTGTGTGTTAGAGTAATTTTTCTATGTTATGTACAGAAATTGCGGCTTACTTTCTCTGGAAACCATGGTGTCACGAATGGCATTTGAAATGTATTGCTGTACGAGTGCAATGTATCAAATGAATCCGGTGATACGGCACCCAGCATAGAATAAACGCCACGCGAAAATTGATTGCATACTGTAAGGCGCATACACAGCCACGTATGGATGTATGCGTGTTGTTATTACATTTTTGAAACGTACGAATGTTGGTTTTTGTTTTTTTTTTGGTTCACCAATGCAGCGGTAAATATGAAGATAGAAGAAAAATGCAAGTAATTAAAATTTATAAATGCATTGTAAATGTTTGTGTAAATGTTTGTGTTTGTGTGCAAGTAAATATGTGTGGCAATTTGTTGAACATACTGGCAATGACTGCGAATGAAAATGTATTCTGTGTTCTATTTAAATCAGAAAAAGTGCATAATTAATGAAACGCTGCAGTGGCGGCGGCAACAGCAGCAGCAGTGAGCCGGTGGCAATCAAGCATCGCTTCGCTTGCCACAGCCACATTTGCCACACAAGGCCATCAAGGCTGCTGCAGTCACGCGCGCGCTACGTACGTCAAGTGCACATTCGAGTATTCCCTACGTATTGATGAATGTATTTGTGTGCAAATATGTTGTGTTTTTTTTAATAATTTGTTTTCTCTTTTTTTTTGTATGCTATGGTTTGGTTTATAAGTGCGACTCGCGCTCGCCCCTACGACGTACTTAAGCGCGACAATTTAAATGCATCTGCTGTGTTGATGACATCCACGTACGCTTGCAGCTCGAATCGGCGGGACGATACGTTGAGATTGTGATTGAGCATTGCGTATTTAAACGCTGATTGCACCTCATCAGTGCCTTGTTCAAATATGGCGCCTGCAATGACAGAGAGCAAAAGAGCAAGAGTATGTCAAATAATTGATTTTTATTTTATTTAAACGTGATTTAAAAAATAAGTCATAAATTCAAAAATGTTATTGAAAAAAATAAAAAATTTTTGCGATTTTAAAATGTAGATTATTTTTTAAGGCACACAGCAAAGCCGCCAGAATTTTGATTTTTACACCTACTACCAGCAGCTTTAGGTGGTCTTCTATAAGAAAAGCGCCCATGCCGCGAATGTTGCCTCCGTGAAGAGCGGTTGCTTGGGAAATGCAGCATGTTTAATCCACATCCTTCCACCCCGTTTCGCACCTATTTCTGGAAAACTAAGACGCATCCATACCATTACTGGGAGGTCGTTAGCATATATGGCTCGGCTCTGATAATGATGAAGCGTAAAGAAGTAAAACATTCTCCTAAAGAGTAAATGCTTGAGACTTGTGTTATGGTTGGGTCCTTCAGAATCCCTGGCTGCGGCTGGATTTTTACTCGATTTTTCAATTGTCAGAGTTTTTCGGAAACTTTTCAGATTAACTCTGGATTTTTCGAGATTCTTCGTATTTTACTTTTTCGACTCTATGAAAAATTTTAATGGGACTGCAAGAGATGTTTACAATTTAGCTTTCCAGTACTTTGTTAAACTTTTTCTGGACTCGGTATTAGATCAAGACTTTTTGGCATTCTTAGTACATTCATTTTTTGGAATTTATCCAGGGCTATTCGGGATTTTCGAGTTTCTGGGAGCTTTTAGAATTTTTCGAGACTTTCTGTTTTTTTCAGGACTATTCGTGTCTTATTTTTTGGTGTTTTTTAGGTTTTTAGGACAAATTTTGGAATTTTTACGGAATCGTTCGTAATTTTTGGAATTCGCGGAACTTTTCGGAATTTTTTATTTTTGATATTTTTTGACTTTTGGGGAAGTTTTTACTTTTAAAAATTTTTCGGCATTTTCTGAATTTTTCTGGGATTATTTTTCGAAGCATTCGTAATGTTCCTTAACTTTTTCGGTTTTATTTGTCATAAACTTGTCATTATTATCGG